TATTTAGCAAATAAGTTGTAATTATCTTGTTTAAGCTGAAATACAACCAAAATGTTGTCATCATGGTGAAAGTAGGAGATTTGAATGTTAGATAATTGAAGACCATAAAAGTTAAGAGATAAACGCGAATGGCGTAGTATGTATTTTAAAAAATCATATCTTATCTTAATCACTTTTTAATTACAGTAGCATCAAAATAAAATAAGAAAACCAAACAAAACTAGATGAAGTACACAAATTATTATAATTTACCAGGTGATGATTTTACTCATATTTAACAAGAAAATCCATTGTTCTGGGATGCTTACGTTAAACGCAATAAATGTAATGTTGATTTGCATACGAGTATTATTAAGCAATTGACTGAGGTTAGATTCATATTTGAGTCCGCATCTGATTGAGAATCAAAAAATTATAGTTGACCCAATTAGTCCTTCACCGAATAACTATTTTCTGAATGTTCAGAAAGTTCTCTAGATATTAGTAATATGCCCTATCCACAAAACCATATTTTTCAGATGAGCAAATAAGTTTTGTTTACTTTTTGAATAAACTTCATTTTTAATAGTAACCTAAGAATTTCTAGTCTCAAGAAATAGAGACTGCAGCGTTTTGGAAATACTCTAGATAATTGGTATAGGCTTTCTCTAGTATACTATTGGTCTATCGACATCACCAGATTTACCGTAAGACCAGAGGTATTAATTATTTAATTTTGATGATTGAATTGTAAACTCAGAATTTAGTGTCTCTAAAAGAAGAGATTGCTACAACTTGGGACTACTCTACATAGTTCGAAGAGGAACTTTAACCACTTTTCCTGCCTATCGACATCCCTACACCTGTTCTAGGAGAGAAGGGGTGAATTTTTGAATATATATCGTTATTATTTTTCTCAAGTATAGAAAACTGTAACATCCTAAAACTATCTTAAAAAATTCGAATACGACTTCTAACTAGCTCTCTACCTATCCAGACTCCCACATTTGCCGATAGCACTTTTGGGCTAGTATAGACAGTTTAAGAAGACCCTCTGGCACACTCCCTGCTTATCGGCAGACGCTGTATTGCTTTAGAAGAAAAGCTCTAGCTTTAATGACTAAGAAATCTGCATAACTTTTATTTAAAAATATTTAACTTTTACGTAAATGTAAAAGAAACGAACCAAGTTGGAAGAGTCCTCTTTTGGAATCTTATGGAAAAATCTAAATTTCATGCATCATGTTATTTCATGCTTGAATAATTACAACAGCTTAGAGATTTTGAGATATGCAACTTATTCAGACATTGAAAAACATTCTGCATGATTCCTTGATAGAATAATCAATTTTGAAATATCCTTATCAAATTTATATCATAATTTTATACAATATTTTATAAATTGTCATTTTTTTAACCCTAGGATACTTAACCAATAAAATAACTATAGTAACTAAATGCTCGCCGGGCCTGAGAGGTCCGGTTTATGCATCATAGGGTTAATTCATTTTCATTTAGCACACTACTTTTAAGACATCATTAATTAATGGACTTACGTTATATTTATATTTGTTTTTGTTGTAAATGTTCCATTCAAAGGACATCCCTCAATTGAAACCGGAAGAGGTGGTGTTGTTATATAACCATTAATTTGGTACCATTGAGAACCAAGAACAACAATTGCCATTGAACATACAGATATTAAAGTACCACAAAAAGCACCCTGCAAAAAATCAATTTATTAATTAAAATAAAATTTGCATAATAAATCTTACTTTCGAATTTATTTTTGGTATAAGCATCCCACCAGCGAAAAGTGCTAAAATCGGACCGGCTGTAATTCCAGACAGGCTATTCGCCAAAGCTAACATCCCCCCGAGCTTTTCAACAATGAAAACATTAATCGTGCTGATAACTCCAATTATAACAACAATTAGTTTTAGAATTGTGCTAATTTTTCGTTGCGAAGTGTTTTTTGGTAATCGATGAGAAATAAAATCTTCAAAAATTGTACAAGATAAACTGTTAAGCATTCCAGACATTGTACTTAAAGCCGCACTAAAAACTCCTGCAATGAAAAATCCAGCTAATCCGGGAAGTTGTTTTGCAATGTCCATGATGTAATATGGAAGTAATTGATCTTGTTTTTGTAAAATTCCCGCTTCTAATGGATCACAAGTTGAATATTCGGTAAACATAATCAATCCAGTAAAATTACATAATGAACCAATTATAAATAATCCTATTGCGAACATAATCAAAACTTTTGTAATATCTTTTTGTGACGGTAAAGCTAAACACTTCTGAATATACGTTTGATTAATACCCATAAAACTCATCCAAGCGATAAATTGGCCGATTAAAACTGCCCAAAATCCATTTCTTTTAGTAAAATCTAAATCAAACACCAACGTTAATCGTTCGTTTTCATACGAGGTATTCCATATATTTTCAATTCCACCACATCTAATAACACCCAAAGTAAAAGCAATAGCTAAAGCGCCTATCATAACAATCGATTGAAGCGCATCTGAATACACAACAGCTTTTAATCCACCAATACTTGTGTAAAAAATGCAAACTGCACATAATAATATGTTGATTAAATGTAAATTGATGCCGGTCGCTTGAACAAAAAAAAAACGTTATTAATGATTAAATAATATGGTGAAATTACCTTGAACTAAAGCTAAAGCTGGAATATAAATAACGATGGGTAAAACTAAAATGATGTGTCCAAGATAAAGGATTGAACCCAATAATCGAGTTTTTGTATCATATCTTAGTTTTAAATATTCAAATGTGCTCGTTGTTTTTAATTTAGCAAATACGGGCACGAAAATTTTATAGGAAGCGAATATTACGAAGATTAAACTTACGTAAGTAAACCAAAATGATATTCCATGCTTGTAAACGTCTGATGGA